GAAGCTTACATATGAATATGTATTTTAAAAGATACATTCTTTTATTATATTTACTATTAATAAAAGCAAGTATACACATTCATTTATTAAGTTAACCATTACCTAATATCTGAAATTCTTATTTAGCATATGAAATTAAATTAATTCTTTTAAACTATGACTTAGTTAATATGTGTATTGTTTTAAGTTTTGCTTTTCCATATAAGTGAATAGTTAAAATTTACTGTAAGTTAGCTACTTAGGAAGGTCTAATCATTCTTCCACAAAAATCATAGAGTGCATAAAAATTCTTTGCTTATATATAAATTCTAGCTCAGAAACTGAGGATAGAAGAAAAGTTAATGTGAGAGAAGAAGAAAGAAATAGCAGAGAGAAAAGGAAAAAAGCTTTATCATGAGGGGGAAGATACAAATAATTTTTACCCTAAACTGAAAGTCTTCTTTCCCCTTTTCTCTCTCTTCTCAACCCATGCCTCTTGTCAAAGGAGTCTATCTCAGTGGAAAATTTTCACTAGAAACAACACAGACAGGGAGAAATTTGAAGAAGATACGATAATACTGGTTTTCTTATGAGATCTTAGCAGTGTGGGAAGGCTGTGAATGTACTGTAATTGTTTATGTTACACAGAGGACAGGGATCTTGATCTTCCTGACATATCCATTCTTGTCCTCATTCTTGTCCATTGCGTAGAAATAAGCATTTTAAAAAAATCGAAAAAATATCGAAGTTGAATTAATTCTAAGACTTTCTTTGGCCTTATTTTTAATGCATCAAAGGATAAAATATATTATCTAATTTATGATCTATGTAGAAATGCTTATGATAACAAATTTAAATAGGGTTAGAATATCAGGAAGGCAGTAAAAATTTCTAGATTTTGGAGAATATTCTTTCAATCATTTTGATAATTGAAAGGTTTTATGGTTTTTCATTGTATGTCTTCATCTAGGCTTCCTTTTGGGTTTTTTATGTCCTTTGTCTCATTTCCTTCTCTTCCATCTGAACGTATTTCATATGTTCTCTTTCATGAGAAGAGATCAATTGTACAATTACATTCATTTTCATAAGTTACTGAATTATGTGATCTCAAACCCTGTATTTTAGATTTTCATAGAAGTTTCTTTAATGTTTACTTAATAATTCCCCAAATATATTAGATGCATACCTATAGTATACCTAATTAAATATACCTAATAATATCATACTAACATAATCTGCAGCTCTTCTTTTTCAACAGAATCTTACTCTTATTTTATTTAACTTAACTATGGACTATTAAAACATTTTCTCTTAAATTTTTTTGTATCCATTATTGGTAAAGCAGTAGGATTCTTTTGTTCCCAGGGGAAAATATACAAATCTTAGAATATGTGAATGTTATTTTAAAAAAAAGGTAGAGGGCATGGGTTTAGAAATTTTGAAGAATGCATTTTCAGGCCTCTGTAAATCTTCTTGTGAATATTATAGTGTCACACACAATTTCCAATAAAACACTGAGAACAATTAAGTTTGCTTTAGATGTAGTGATCATAATAGCTAATTCACTAGCAAATGTATTAGCTTCACCATAGATAAAGTTAGGAATTCAAAAACATTACTTTTTACATTTAGTTGAGAATTTAAGTACATGAAGGCCTGAAATGATTTTACTTATGTTTTCTTCCTTCCTTTTTTTCCTTCCCTTCTTTTTATTTCTTTCCTTTTCTTTCTTTCTTTGCTTGCTTTCCTTTTTTTTATGAAATGGTCAAGTTCTACCTACAATACTACCACACAGATTAACTTTTGACATCAGACCTTGAATACTGAAATACATGAACATGTTTTAAATTTCTAAGATGATATGTGCAAATTGTGCTACTGGAGGAATTAATGAACTGACTGTTCAATCTTTAATCTACTAGGTGAGATAATTTTCTAGCAAGTACATTACTAAAATTTCTTAATTTCTACCCATCTAGTGGACATAAAATATTATTTTATTATGACCTTAATTTGTGTTTTTCTGATGTTCAAGAAGGTTGAGTATGGACTGGGAAGGTGGCTCAGTGGTAGAGTGCTTGCCTTGCATGCATGAGGCCCTGGGTTCCTCAGCACCACATAAGCAGAAAAAGCCGGAAGTGGTGCTTGGCTCAAGTGGTAGAGCATTAGCCTTGAGCTGAAGAGCTGAGGGACAGTGTCCAGGCCCAGAGTTCAGGCCCCATGACCAGCAAAAAAAAAGGTTGAGTATCTTTTCAGATACTTATTTACTGTTTTCTTTTAAGAAATTTCTTTTCATGATTCTGCAAAGATAATTGTACCATTTTCTCCTTTTATTGATTCAAAAGGATAAAAGGCAGGTTCTATATATGGACAAAGCAATTTCCATGGGATTTTTTCCCCTGTCTACCTTTTTTGTCTTACCTTTCATTACTTTTCTTATCTTTCATTGCCTACCTCTCTCTATATTCTCTAGGAATTCAGAATTGTTATTTTGTTGCCATTATGCTTTTGCTTATGATATTTTCTTCTGCATAATTCCTTTTCCAGTTTTGGTGATATTGATTACAAAGCCGACTCTTAGCTTAGGACATTTGTAGAAAGCTTCTTAACTCTTCTGAGGCTGAATTAAGGCCTCGAAGTCCTTCAAAGTCCTATAAAACCATATAGACATTAGGTTCCTCAAGGGTTAGAGAACTAATAAAAAGACTATCACTTATCTCTAGCACCTGGCAGGGTGCCTGGCCCAAATACAACTTGATATTCACTGATCTGTTTGTTGTATGTGCAAAGATCAAGAGCCATTATCTGATAGGAAGCTAGAAATAAGAATTTTAAGCGCAGAAGAAAGACAGAAGATAAAGCTGTTGGTTCTCGAAGTCATGAAAAGTCATGAAAAGAGAAAGAGCCAATATTTTAGGCAATATTTAGATGAAGTGGGTGCAGAAAAGTTAAGCAACCGTTCAAGGTTCACAGAGCTAATCAATTCTAAAGCTGGGATTTGAATCAAGGTCTTTCTAATTTCAAGGCCCAAGTTATTTTCATTACTCAACAGTGGATGAGATCATGCAGAAGAGTGAGTGGAGGGAAGGTTGCAGTAAGTGAGTGAAAGACAGAAAAGACAGGAGTTAGATACTTCAGATAGGCTCAGAAAGAACTCAAAATAGCAGCAAAGAGCTATAAACAACTCTGTTAGGAATTGGTGTTCAGGAAAACGCAGTAAAAATTTCAGAAAGGAATGGTAGCAATTGCCAGTGCTCAAGACAGATCCAATGGTTGAGAAATGTCTTCTAAGTTTCAATCAGATCATTTGGTAACATTGGAAATAGAATTTAAGGTACACATGAGAAGACAACTTAATGAAGCAATTCTTGCAAGTAAGTGGAGGAGGGATACAATGTAACCGTAGGCAAAGGGATATCCCTTACAGATGGGGAGATACATATTGTAATATACATTGTGTCTTGCATTTGTAACTAGAAATCATAGAGAACCAAAAACTGTTATTATCTGTGAACTAGGCAGAGGCCTAAAATTAATATACACACAAAGGTAAGAGTTTTCTCTATTCATTTATTTTTCTGTCAAATGGGTCAACATTCTCCCAGTTATCCTAGCTTCAAATCTGTGTCATTTGTAATGTCTCCTTTCCTAATAGGTAATGAATCATGAAGTGTGACCTTTGGGAATGTCCAAGTTACCTCCCATAGGAGGGAGTGGTCAAGTCCTAGTCAAAAGCAAAAAACAAAACAAAACAAAAAACACAACAAACAACAGATAAAACTGTATAACAACCTAATGCACCATCTGCCACACAGTAGATATTCAAAAGTACAGTGAATTAATGAATATATGATGGTGACGATTGCTAGATAAAAATGACAAGTTCGCTGAATCAACTGAGCTTAGTGGAACCTTGTTACCATTCTAGTTCGACCTTGTTTTGTAGAGGCATCTGAGCAAGATGAAGTAATCTGCCCGAAAGTCCAAAAGCTGCTTACTAGTAATGCCAGGAGTGGGAAAAAAGAGATGCCTAGGCTAGGAACAGGAGGAATTAAACACTCGAATGTGCATTGCCATTTGATTTTTCTCCTCCTATTTTCTTTTCCTTCTAATCGCATTACTCTTTTCTTGGCCCAGGTCCTTATCACTGTAATTATTCCATCAGCTTCCCACGATCTCCCTTTCTCTTCTTCCCTCCAGTTTACCAATATTCCAAAGCCAGATCAATAGTTGCCAAACACTGCCTTCAATACACCGCTTTCCGGACTGCCAATAGGATAAAGTCCAAAACACTGACACTATTAACTCTATTTGCCCTATCTAGTTTGCCAAACTTTTCCCCATCTAGACACCCATTATCTTTCAAGGTCCTTAGAGGCTGCAACTGTGTCCTTCTGGGATGATGGCTCTTTGGTGGTCAGATAGGCAGGTAAGAGGGTCCCACGCTGCGCTTGGTTTAATCTGTTGTCTTAATATTGCTAATGCCTTCTGTCAGGTAGACTTGGCATCCTCATTTTGTAGTAGGCCCAGTGAGCTAAACAAGTTGGTCTTGAGTCACTTCCTCAACCCCTGCCATTTCTGCAAGCCCTTGTTAAAATGCACGAACAAAGTGCACACGATTGTTTCCTGGGAAATATCGAAAGAAACCCACGGAGCGAGAAGCAATGGGCACTAGCTTTCCCGCCAGGCTCTCAAAACCCCTCCCACAGCCCCTGGGCCAACTCAGACCGGTTCCAGCTGGTTTTCTGGAGGCAGCTCGAATACCAAATGGCATTCCAGTCCTCGCCCCGGCGATAGCCAATCCCCGTAGCTCCTGGGGCTCCGAAATCGCAACGGCCTCTGATTGGTGGACAGAGTTAGGCCGGGGGCGGGCGAAGAGCTCTCACGAAGCCACTAGTGGAAGGAGTGATTGGGCCCTGGCGTAGCGGCCACTGCGCAAGCGCCAATGGAAACGCATAAACAAACAAACCAACCCCACCACCCCGAGGCCTCTCGCTCTTCCCCGCCCCCTTGCTCCCCGCGTGGGGCTCCCCGCCTCCCCAGCGCCCCCGCTTTCCCCGGCCGCGTCCACGTCTGGGCACGTCCCCTTCGCGGCTCGGGCCACGCACGTCCCCGCACCTCACCTCCGTGCGCCAGGCGCGAAGTTAAAGGCCCGGGCGGCCGGGGCAGTGCAGGCGGCGCCCACTCCCGGCGGCGCGGAGCCCAGGCCGGCGCTGCAGACCGCGGCCGCTGCCCGGCCGAGTATGACTTGCTACCGGGGCTTCCTCCTGGGCAGCTGTCGGCGCGTGGCGGGCGGCCGGGCGGCGCTGCGGGGTTCGGGCGCGGGAGGCCCCGGCACGCGGCCGCGGCTGGGCGGAGACGGCGGCCGGCGGCACCTGGGGCACGGGCAGCCGCGCGAGCTGGCGGGCTGCGGCAGCCGCGCGGACGGCGGCTTCCGCCCCTCGCGGGTGGTGGTGGTGGCCAAGACCACCCGCTACGAGTTCGAGCAGCAGCGCTACCGCTACGCGGAGCTCTCGGAGGAGGACCTCAAGCAGCTGGTGGGTCCCGGCGGGGGCCGGGGGGCGAGGGAGGGCGCCCCGGCGTCCAGGCTCTGGGCCCCCATCTGCTCCCGGACCCGACTGGGGTGCCTGCACCCCCTAAAGCACGACCTCTGGGGCGACCCCAGTTCCCGGGGCCTCCCAGGATCCCACTTGCTGACCTCCCTGCCCCTGGCCTCTCCTGCAGACCCACCCTCCCTTCTCGCGCGTGGGGGGTTTTGGTGGCGTTGGGCAGCGTCAGGTCAGGTCTCCGTCCAGTAATGGACGCCCCGAATCTGCCTTCGATGGGCGAAAAGAGCGGCCTCGGGGTCCCCACCGACTGTCGGAGGGGGCACTTGGGGGCTCCCTCGGGCCCTCGCCCCTGGTCGGGACCGGCATGTCCAGCCCCGCAGGAGGAAGGCGAGCGGGGTGGTGGGAGGTCTGCGTGGGGAGAGAACTACGGGGGGGGGGGAGGGAGAGGCGCTGCAGAAAACGGGGCGTAGCAGCCACGGACACACACCCCCTTTACTCTGCGGGACCCGAGGCCTGGGCCCTCCTGAGCCGGCCTTTGCCCAGCTGGAATGTGGGCGCCCTAGGAGGGTCTTGCAGTTGGTGTCAAAGCACGTGCGGCTTTGGTGCCAGGGAGAGCGAGGGAGGAAGTTGGATTTGCATCTTTGTTAGCTAAAAAGGTCCTGTAACGGTAAGTGACTGGAGAAGGTGTGAAATACGCCCTCGGGACCAGCGGCTCCACTGTGGACTAGGTGTGTTCATTAGTATTTTGGAGAGAAGCATATAAATCCAAGGGAGATTGGAACCCCGAATTTGATCAGCTCTCCTCCTCCTTTTGGATTTCATATCCCTACTCAACCATCATTAAGACATGGAGAATAATCGCGGTTGCCAGGGACTGTATTACCTAGAAAAACCAGCGTTGGATACTTTATTGTTGACACTGTACTCATAGTGTGTGGAATTAGTTGCATGTAACCATTACTTTTTAATTCTTTGTAAACTTCAGCATAGTCGTTTTGTAGATAATGTCAAAATGAAATTTTAACTCTTGGCTTCAAGAGAGCCCAAGTAGAAGTTCAAGTGCCAATTTCCCTTTTCTTTTCCTGAGTATTTGAAAAACATTTGTGGGATTTAGAGAAAATCAACAGTTTGGACTGGAGATTAGAGTAGTTGAATTTGTGTTGGACTGTGAAATTGGGAATGAGGGAATGTTAAGGTCACATGAAAGTACTGGTTTCTATTTTGGGAAAGGGGTGTGTCCTTTGGTTTATTCTCTTAATTTTTCAAGACCCACCTTTTAGAAATTGTCACATGCCATTTAAAGAAAATGTTCTTTATACAGTTTCACTGAAGCCTCCCACAATTTCAAGTAGCACATCAGGAAAATAGAAAAAAAAAAAAGAATGAAACAGTACACACAATTTGTTGTGTTCAGAGTGGGGATCAGAGGTCAGGAGAGCTCTAAGCTGTGGTTCTGTGTTGTTAATTTCCTATGTGGTTTTCAACTTCTCTGGGTGTCATTGCCAACGAAGACAATACTTTTTTATAGTACTGTCAGCTTTTCAGTTAGTTCAGTATGTGAATGTTAGGATTGGATTAGATTGTCTCCAAAGTCCTTTTTAATACTGGCATTTTGAAATTTTTGAAGGCCTCAGGAAAATCGGTGGCATCTGAATGAGAATTAACTCTTGGACCTCTGAACTAGACTGCAGCTAATAAAAACTTAAAATGTAGGGAAAGTCAATAATTGTGTAAAAGTCAAACTACCTAATGTACCCTGAGTACAGAAATCTCTTAATAGGTAAATATTTGTCCCTAATGTTCTTAGAATAAGAAAGCTTTGAAGTTTACCTGCAAGACTGCAGGCAGTTTTGCAATTACCTGGCAGTGGAATAGGTTTTGTTGTAGATAATGTTACAGATGTACTGAATTAGGTCACTATTGATAGGAATTATTATCATTATCATTATTATCAGGCAGTATTGGGATTTGAATTTAGGGTTTTGCAATTCTTTTTCTTTTTCTAAAAATCATTTGAGCTATATCCTAGCTCTCTTTTGCTTCAGTTGTTTTACTGATAGGGCCTTTCGCTTTTTGCCTCAGGGCTGGCCTTCCACAGTATTTTTCCTGTTACTCAGGCTGTTAATTGGGATGGAGTTCCTGAATTAGAAATTGTTGGTCTGGACTAGAATTGTTAACTCTTCTTATTTTAACTCTTCTGCTTTTCCTGAGTAGCTGTGATTACAGGTGTGAACCACCATGTCTAGCCTTTGTTTTATGATTATGTTAAGCCAGTACTTGCAATGATGTATACCGTATTAAGATATAGCCTGGACTAGTGATCAGGTACACATCAGAGAATACTGGGCCTTGTGTAATAGATAGAAATGGCATGAACATTAATGTTGTTTGTTATATTGTTAGGCTAGAATATACTAAAATGTGTCTTATCATGTACATTGAAATAAAAGTAAATGGCTAAAGCAGGGAATCCTAGCTACTCAGGAGGCTGAGATCTGAGGATCTTAGTTTGAAGCCACCTTGCGCCGGAAAGTCCTTTAGACTCTTTTCTGCAATAAGCCATCAAATAAGCCTGAAGTGGAGCTATTGCTCAGGTGGTAGAGTGCTAGTCTTGAGCACCTAGACCCTAAGTTCAAGCCCCAGGACTGACACACACACACACACACACACACACACACACACACACACACACACACACACACACACACACCACACACACACACACCACACACACACACACACACACACACACACACTCACACAAGTAAATGGCCAAGTATTGCTTGAGCCTTCCTGCACCTTAGCTGTGATAACCTGGCTTTGCACCAAAGCATTCTGTTTTCTTGTGGTGCTTTTTGATGCAAAGCGCATCGCTTTTAAAATAATGTCTTAAGATACCAGTAAAGATGAAGGCCAGAGTGCCAGTATAGTTTTATATTCTGACATACTATGCTTTTTTTTTTTATTTTGTAGACGTGTAAGGAAGTCGAGTAGCCTTTTAGTTGATAAAGCATGTGCAAAATAGAATTACGTCCTTCAGCCTAGGTCAAAGTTTTGACTTTCACTTACTCTTTCAACTAATTACATTGCTTTATTTTTAACTTTTTAAAATTCTTAACTCTTAATTCTTTTTTATTTCTTAACTTTTTCCCCATTGATCCGTGATTTTTCTTTTGAATAGTGGATTTTTAGCTAAGAATTTTTTACCTTCAAGTTTCACGACCTTGCAAAGACTAATAAAGCTATTATTACAGTTTACATAGGAGATATAGATGTTGGCAGAGGTGGAACTTTAATCATGATCCACGACAGTCACAAATTAGGGCTTTATGTGAAACAAAACTTTGAAAAGGATTTTGATACCAGAGAAATACACTATTTGTTGAAGAGTTTTTATTTGTCTTTTAATATGTATTAGATACAAAACATTTATTTTCCACCCTCCTTTACTCTATCCTAGTCTCTTAACTTCAGAAGCTATTCTCTGTAATGGTTTCCCCATTTCTGTCTTAGGGTTAAAAATCATGAGATAAAATAACTATATCTAACAATGCCTCTATTATTGGCTTACATTATTCCTGTCTATTGCCATCTTAAGAGATTTGGGAAGTGTTGTACCTTGGTTTTGTTTTTCTTTTGTTTCCTAATGAAGATGGTGTGGCTTAGGTTTTAAGTAGCTCTTAAGCAGGTAATACCTTTCTGCCACCTGGTTTGAGCAGTAAGTATATTGTATACAGTGTGGGTAGTTATCAAATTAAAGAATGTGATCTGGAGCCCTCCTGTGCCCTTCTAACTGAACTTTGCTCCTTTCAGATCTTCCAGGTGCAGGCTCCAGAGTGATCTATCTAAAAACAAACATCTAGCCTCTTGATTCCTCTGCTTAGAACTTCCTAAATATTCCTCATAATCTTCTATCAGTAGCATATTAAAGTAGTTTAAAAATGTAAATGATTCAGAAATTTATTCAATAAAAATTGTATAATGAAAATCAGTTTCTTGTGTTTCTTGAATAATCCATATTCATAAATCGAAGCAATGAAGTATTCTTTGTCTTTATCTCATCCTGTATTTGTTCATTGATCACATACTGTTCTGTACTTTTTTTCTTTCCACTTCACAGTGTTTGTTATTCTTTTTAAATAGTATATGTGTCTTATTACATGTGTGATGTATCTTAACACTTAAGTTATTCACTAATTCTGTGTCAATCAATCTGTAAGACAAATGACCTAAAAGACACACATAATTGATTAGAGAATTGCCCAGTTGTCTCTTAGAGATTGTTTGCTTTTACCATCTTGAATGAGAGTTCCTGGTTTTACAAAACATTTAAAAATTTTAAGTGCCTGACAACTTGAAAGTTTGAAATAATATTTCAAGGTAATTTAATTTGCATCTCTTAGGATCTTCATAGTTGCAGTCCTCTTGCTTTGCGGGCAGTCCTCCATCTTGTTCCTGTTCTTCCTTAGAGCTTGGCTCAGCTGTTCTGTTAGGACTGCTTGATAACCTTGTTGTGGCCCTGACTTCCTCTGCCAGTCAAGGTTGTGTTACAGTCTCCATATATATTCCATAATACTTACCTATGATTATTTCTTCTGTGGACTGTAAACTAGAGGTTTGGAGGCAAATATTCCCTGTCATTCTCCCCATACTCATAGCCCTACTTAATAAGGTGGTACAGTGTTTCTGTATTGTTTAAGATGACATTTAGTTCTTATTCTCCACTGGCCTAGGGACTAGCTTTCTTCTAGATGAAGACCTTAGGCTGAAGGTTTCAGTAACTCAGGTTTCTTAGTAGGCCTTTCAGATTAGATATCTTTAAGGAACATGAATGCAAGCAAAAGATGATTAGTATTTGACCATGTCTTTTACTTTTAGTGGGTCAGAAGGGGGAGAGAAAGTATTTTAAATTTTGTAGAACACAACTTGGAAAATAGAGCCTTATGGTCTCTTCCACAAAGGCTTACAAGTAGATTTACAAAGAAAAG